TTTAGGGTTTTGGGGTTAGGGTTTAGGCTGGCAGGCCCCCCCGGGATTTTCATGTTTGCCCTCACTGGGTTTGAGGGGGTCGCATGCAGGAATGTTTTTCAGAGGGTTTAAGGCGCCAACCTAGCAGGGTTGAGGGTGGAGGGTTTTGAGGTTTAGGGTTGCAGAGGTTTAGAGGTTTAGAGCTTAGGGTTTTTGGGTTTAGGAGGATTGAGGGTTTTGAGGTTATGATGTCAACAAGCAGAAAACATAAAACACAAGTAGTTTATGTGTTGCAGGGATATCGAGAGGTAAGGCCTAGGCCAACCCCAAGCCGCAAACCCCAAAGCCCTAAACCCCAAGCCCTAAACCCTAAACCCCAAACCCCAAGCCCCAAACCCTAAAACCCAAACCCCAAACCCTAAGCCATCCCAGCCGCTGAACGCAAGCACCAAGCCAGAAAGCCCTCGCAGGAATTGACAGCTCTGGCACCCTGTTTGTGATCGCATTCCGGCGTGCATGGATCCCTAAACCCTAAACCCTAAACCCTAAACCCTAAACCCTAAACCCTAAACCCTAAACCCTAAACCCTAAACCCTAAACCCTAAACCCTAAAAACCCTAAACCCCTAAACCCTAAACCCTAAACCCTAAACCCTAAACCCTAAACCCTAAACCCTAAAACCCAAACAAACCCAAACCCCAAACCCAAAACCCCAAACCCCAAACCCCAAACCCCAAACCCAAACCCCAAACCCCAACCCAAACCCAAACCCCAAACCCCAAACCCCAAACCCCAAACCCCAAACCCCAAACCCTAAACCCTAAACCCTAAACCCTAAACCCTAAAAAACTAAACCCAACCCTAAAACCCTAAACCCTATAAACCCTCATAGGGAGCTCAGGGTTCAGGGTTGAGGGAGTTCAGGGCTCAGGGTTAGGGAGTTTAGGGTTTAGGGTTTAGGGTTCAGGGTTTAGGGTTTGGGGAGTTGGGGGGGGGGGGGGGGGGAGTTTAGGGAAATTAGGAAGTGGAGGGAGTCTAAAAACATGAGGTAGCTTAGGGGTTTTTAAGGATATGCGGGTAAACAATTCCAGGGGCTGCTAGAGCAAGGGTCGGAGCACTTTGGTGCTTTGGGGGTGCGTAGGGTTTAGGGTTTAGGGTTTAGGGTTTAGGGTTTAGGGTTGAGGGTTTAGGGTTTAGGGTTTAGGGTTGCGGGAATCCAAGGGTAGTTATACGGACCCTTACGATGGCCCCTTACATTCTTCAACGGGTTCTGAAGTTTGGGCCCTTGGGTTGTAGAGTCATTGTAGGGGGAACATATGGAGTATATAACCCTAAACCCTAAACCCTAAACCCTAAACCCTAAACCCTAAACTCTAAACCCTAAACCCTAAACCCTAAACCCTAAAAAACCTAAAACCTAAACCCTAAACCCTGAAACCTAAACCCTAAACCCTAAACCCTAAACCCTAAACCCTTTGTCCCAGACTAACGGACCATGTAGCTCCCTAAGAGGGAAACCTCATTGAAAGCCTTGTAATTAGGTGTGCACAGTGGGCGTGCAAGGACACCAATGGACCCAAAAGCTCTATGAACCCCGAAACCCTAACTAAGCCCTAAACCCTAAACCCTAAACCCTAAACCCTAAACCCTAAACCCTAAACCCTAAACCCTAAACCCTAAACCCTAAAACCCCAGTGAATCCCACGTGCCCTAGAAGACCCTCTCTAAGCCCCTAAAAACTCGCGGCCTCTCCGAAGTTGAACTTGAGGCCTCCATCTACACGTTCCTCTTTACGTTCGAGCTCCTCCTGCGCAACCTCGCGAGCCACGGCCGCGCTTTTTTGGGGGGGTTTGGAGTTTCGGGTTTAGGGTTGAGCCCTGAGACCTAAACCCAAAACCTTAAACCCTAAATCCTAAACTAAACCCTCAACTTAGTCCTGTCTGGTCAGTTCTCTGAACCGTGGTCCTCTTCGCGTCCCCAGTTCGAAGAAGGCTATTTGTATTTAGGGTGTTTGAAACTTTGTCCTGACACCTAAGCCCGAATCCCCCAGATGAGTCAGACACCGAAAGCCCAAAACCCTAAGCCCCAAACTCTTGATGGCCTGCAAGTGTTGTTCTTTCCTAGGGTTTAGGGCTCGGTGGTTTTGGGGCTTGGGAAAGGTCACGGAAACGTCTCTCTCTCTCTCTCTCTGTCTCTCTCTGTCTCTCTCTCTCTCTCTGTCTCTCTGTCTCTCTGTCTCGCTGGCTCTCTGTGTGAACCTCAGCCCGAATCCCTGAACCTCAACTCCTCCACCCCCGAAGCCCGAAACCCTAAGCACTCCAAGGTTTGGCCCCTGCATCTTTTGCGGTGAGGCCTGGAGAGGGGAGGGGGGGGGAATGTTTAGGGTTTAGGGTTTAGGGTTTGGGGTTTAGGGTTTAGGGTTTAGGGTTTCGGGTTTCGGGTTTCGGGTTTAGGGTTTAGGGTTTATATAGGATTGGAAGCTTGTGTTCATTGCTAAATGCATGCTCCAAGCCTGAACTTGTACACTTTGTGATTGAGTTCATTTTTTGTTCAGCGCTGCTCTGAAAGGTGAATGCTTTCATCGTCTAGGGTTTAGGGTTTAGGGTTTAGGGTTTAGGGTTTAGGGTTTAGGGTTTAGGGTTTAGGGTTTAGGGTTTAGGGTTTAGGGAAGTTCTTAGAGAATGCGTGTCACGAGAAGAACGCGAGGACTGGTCTGACGCATAACAGCTGTAGGACATCAGCGTGAATGACGTTCCTTTCTACTTACTCACTACAACCACATACTGTTGCGGCACTTTCGAAGAGAACAAACTGAAGTGTTGTCTTGGGAGCAGAGGGGTGACCATCCATAATTTCCCTGTGTAGTTTAGTGTATTGAGGGTGTTCCCTAAACCCCCCAAACCCCTAAACCATAAGCCCTTACCCTAAACTCCAAACCCCAACCTCTGAACTGAAAACGGTGGCCCACCATACCATAGCGGTCGGAATAATCACTAATAATATTCCCTTATGTTCCCATGCTAGAGTAACCCCAAGAACCCTGTTCTAATTATTCAGGCCCCTACATTACCGCGGTTCTATTCTGCAGCTCATAGCTCGATTGGGTTGAGGCTTTCGGTTCTGGTGCCTCTTTACCGCGTTTGGGGTTTGGGGGTTAGGGTGGGGTGTACGAAATAAGGGGACCCTAAAAAAGGCAACAAAGCAGCAGCCTTCCCTTATAATCAGGACCCCAATATGGTACCCCTATTTTCGGAAACCACCATTTCAATCGGATTTTCAGCGCTCTTGGTTTAAGCCCCAAACCCTGAACCCTGAACCCTGAACCCTGAACCCTGAACCCTGAACCCTGAACCCTGAACCCTAAACCCTAAACCCTAAACCCTAAACCCTAAACCCTAAACCCTGAACCCTAGACTGGCCTGCAAACGACAGAGCCCGACTCCTCGAATTGGTCAGAGGACAAGTTTATGTAGACGTATGTATGTATGTATGTATGTATGTATGTATGTATGTATGTATGTATGTATGTATGTATGTATGTATGTACGTGTATGTATACGTATGTTTACAGGAGTTTTTGGGTATATGGGGCTTCTTCAACCCTAAATATGTACCTTATATCGTCCCTATCTATATACCTCAGTAGCCCCTAAATAACCCCTAAATAAACCTCTAGGTCCCTTGTAAGGGTTTCATTTCTGTAGTTCCAAGGGTTTAAGGTTTAGGGTTTAGGGTTTAGGGTTCGGGATGTTCAACAACAAAGGAAGTGGCGATTCAATCATCCTTTACCTGTGCCAGGAATCACAGAAGCGGCGCAAGCAGTTCTTCAGGGTTTTTGGAGGCTAGGGCTTATAACAAGCCTAAACCCTAAGCCCTAAATCCCTAAGCCCTAAGCTCCCGAAACCCTAAACTCCCTAAACCCTGAACTCCCTAAACCCTGAAAACCCTAAACCCTGAAAACCCTAAACCCTCAACTCTGAGAACCCTAAAACCCCAAACCCTCAGACCTCAGTCCCCCCTTGTGTCTCCGCCGAAAGCCAGGACTGGATGTGGATGTGGTTGGACTTGATGGTGGTGTCGACGAGCCTGTTCGCTCCGTGGTCGCTTTTTGGGGCTTTCGGGAGGTTCGGGTTTTGAGGGTTTAGCATTTAGGGAGTTTAGGGTCTAGGGTTTAAGGTTAAGGGCATAGGGTTTAGGGAGTTCAGGGTTTCAGGGCTTTGGGTTTTTTAGGGTTGCAGGGCTTTAGTACCAGGGTTGCAGGGTGTAGCTGCCCACCTTCACCTTATGATAAGCCCAGCCGTCTATAGACTGGAAATCCAGGAAAATGGATCAACAAATCCGTACTTCTCATTACCCATGAACCTCCACGTAGTCCTAAACTCTAAACCCTAAACCCTAAACCCTAAACCTTAAACCCTAAACCCTAAACCCTAAACCCTAAACCCTAAGCCCTAAGCCCTAAGCCCTAAGCCCTAAGCCCCAAGCCCTAAGCCCTAAGCCCTAAGCCCTAAACCCTACACCCTAGCCAGCCTTCGCTTTTTTATATATACAGAAAATCGTTGTGGTATCAAAACTATCAAAGCATGAGGGAGGGGGGGAGGGGAAAAACATCGAAGAATCAACGAGCATCGAAATCTTAGAAGACCAACGAAAAACAGTCTTCCCAGCCATCCTGCCGAATGCGGTGCCCTGTTAGCTCCTCCCACTTCAATGATTCATAGACGCGCCCCGAGCTGCGGGAGGAATTTTGGACGAGTTTTTGTGATGGATTCTCGATGAATGTTTGATGAACTCTGGATAAATGTTCGATGATTGTTCGATGCCTTTTTCCGCGCCCGACGGATGTTTTCCTCCTCCTTTACATGGTTGTTAAATGGTTTGTGGGTGAAATAGTTCGTTTGGGTCCCCTCAGTCCGGGGGTTCTCTCACAACCTTGACAAGCTCTAGCCCCAGGACCCTAAACCCTAAACCCTGAATCTTAGACCCTAAACCCGAAACCCTAAGCCCCAAACCCCATTGAGGAGTTCATCGTCGAGGTCATAGTGCAGCAAGAGGCCACTTGGGGGACGGTCTGAAAGGGGTTCAGGGTTTAGGGTTAGGGTTAAGGGTTCAGGGTTAAGCTTAAGGGTTCATTGTTTAGGGTTTAGGTTGAGGGTTTAGGGTTTAGGGTTTCGGGTTTCGGGTTTAGGGTTTAGGGGTTAGGGTTTAGGGTTTAGGACGGCTCTTTCTCATGTTGGGTGCCGCTTTGACGAAGTAGGAAAGTGGCTCATGGGGCATGTCGGCCACAAATGTTCTGGGTTCAGCTTCAGCCCTATACCTTAACTAGGCCCTAAAGGGGGGGGGGGGGGGCAGGGGTTTAAGGGCACAAGGTTCAGGGTTTCGCAGCCCTAAGCCCTAGCCCCTAAACCCTAAACCCCAAACCTAAACCCTAAACCCTAAACCCTAAACCCTAAACCCTAAACCCTAAACCCTAAACCCTAAACCCTAAACCCTAAACCCTAAACCCTAAACCCTAAACCCTAAACCCTAAACCCTAAACCCTAAACCCTAAACAGGGATGAGGCTGGAGGTCGAGGGCCCTCGGACGCAGGCGCAGGATGCGGAGAACACCAACGTGCTGACGAACATGCGCTTGCTGAGACCCTCGGCGCTTTTGGGGTTTAGGGTGTAGGGTTTGGGGTTTCAGGTTTAGGGTTTAGGGTTTAGAGTTTAGGGTTTAGGGTTTAGGGTTTAGGGTTTTAGGGTTGCTGAGACCCTCGGCTGCTGCCTAAACTGCCCTTCTAGGGTTTAGGGTTTAGGGTTTTGGGTTTAGGGTTTAGGGTTTCGGGTTTAGGGCCTAAAGCCGCCCTAAGCCCCTAAACCCACAATCAAGCAGGGCTGTAGCTTGTCCTCAACTTTGGAGGAGACAGTGTAGTAGCCCTAAACCCTAAACCCTAAACCCTAAACCCTAAACCCCAAACCCCAAACCCTAAACCCTAAACCCTAAACCCTAAAGCCGAAAGCCCACCCGTCGGCCCGCCCCTTGGGGTGGCGTGTTGCAGGCGGGTGGGGTGGGGGCCTTAGATTGCCCAGTGGAGCTCCTGGACCCCTGACAGAGCATGCGGAGTTTTGGCCTAAAACCCTTAAAGGAGAAGGTGCTGAAGCTCTGAGCCACTACCCTTACCCTAAACCTTAAACCCTAAACCCCAAACCCTAAACCCGAAACCCGAAACCCTAAACCCTACCCGTCCGATGCTGGGAGGAATCTTGCGGGTCGCCAAGATCACGCGAGCCTTTCGCATCGTTCGCCTGGTTCGCCGCTGTGAGGATATTACGCCTAGCCCTAAACCCTAAACCCTAAACCCTAAACCCTAAACCCTAAACCCTAAACCCTAAGCCCTAAACCCCAAACCCTAAACCCGAAACCCTAAACCCTAAGCCCTAAACCCTAAACCCTAAGCCCTAAACCCTAAACCCTAGACCCACCAGAATCGCCTATAAGCCCTCTAGCTATGCCCTGCAACTCAGTGAGGACTCAAAGTGTAGCGTCTTGGCCTCCCTACGGTATGGGCCCAAAACCCCAGATCCCGAACCCTGAACTCCTGCACCCTGACCCTAAACCCTAAACCCTAAACCCTAAACCCTAAACCCTAAACCCTAAACCGTAAACCCTAAACCCTAAACCCTAAACCCTAAACCCTAAACCAGGCTGCAAACTGAAAAACCTAAAGCCTTAAACCCGCTAACTCCCTCGAACTCCGAGGAGCTTGAGGTCGGTTGTCTCTCCTTGCATGCAATTTTGTTCTCTCCATATATATGCCTGATGCAAGCCTCATTTAAGTGCACTCACTTCGTAACCACCATCTGAAAGTTTCCTAGATGTTTGAAACCAACCGCTTCTACCCAGATGCCCCAGGCCCTTTCTGGGGCTGCGGGGTTTAGGGCCTTAAGGCTGGGGCTTAAGTTTCTAGCACCCCAACCAGAAACCTACACCCTATACCAAACCCAAGACCCCAAACCCAAGCCAAAACCCAAATGGGGTTAGGGTTTAGGGTTTAGGGTTTAGGGTTTAGGGTTTAGGGTTTAGGGTTTAGGGTTTAGGGTTAGGGCCGGGTGGCAACCCTAAACCCGAACTCTGAACCCCCAAACATATTTCGGGTTTAGGGTTTAGGGTAAACCCCCCCACCCCCACACTTCTCCACTGTTTGCTCAAGACCCCCCCCCCCCCGCCCCCAAACACATAGAATATCCTTCTTTATATGGGTAAGACAGGGTTAATTATGATCTGTTTTTGGGGGGGTTCTTAAGGAAATGGGGGTTTCCGAAAAATGGGGGGGTAGCCTTGTTTTGTTGGGCCTCCGCTTACAGGGGGATTCAATTCTATTTGGGGTATAAGAGGGGTACCCCAGTTTTGGAAAAAAAAAACAACCCAAGTAGTAGTTCTAAATCCCAATGACCCCCCCCCAAAAAAAAACCAAGAAATATTTAAATGAGATCCTTCCTTATAAGGGTAAGATAGGGATTGTCTTCTACTTTTCTTGGGGTTCCTAAGGAAATTCGTAGTTCTAAATCCCAAGGCACTTGGAGGTTCATGGGGCTTAAGAAGCACTTATGACTGTACAACCCTACTTATAATTAGGATAACCCCTATAAGGCCCTTTAGGGGTTTAATCCAAATAGGGTTATAACTACAGTTATAAGTGGTTAGTAAGCCCTAAACCCTAAACCCTAAACCCTAAACCCTAAACCCTAAACCCTAAACCCTAAACCCTAAACCCTAAACCCTAAACCCTAAACCCTAAACCCTAAACCCTAAACCCTAAAGTACCATGAACCTTCAAGCAATGGCTAAGCCGAGGCTTCATCCGCTCTTTGCGGACTCTGCTGCTCTGTCCCTCGGCGTGTCTTGCGACCGATGCGTTTGTGGCACAGTGGTACAAGCTCCAAAGCCTGAACTCTACGTCCTAAACCCTAAGCCCTAGCCCTAAACCCTAAACCCTAAACCCTAAACCCTAAACCCTAAACCCTAAACCCTAAACCCTAAACCCTAAACCCTAAACCCTAAACCCTAAACCCTAAACCCTAAACCCTAAACCCTAAACCCTAAACCCTAAACACAAAACCCTAAACCCTACACCCTAAACCCTAAACCCTAAACCCTAAACCCTAAACCCTAAACCCTAAACCCTAAACCCTAAACCCTAAACCCTAAACTGCTGACAGGCATCGGCCGCACCCTGCGAGCCATGGCATGGAGCGCAGTCCTCCTCTTCTTGCTGCTCGGCTCGGGTTTGGGGTTTAGGGTTTAGGGATTAGGGTTTGGGGTTTAGGGTTTAGGGTTTAGGGTTTAGGGTTTAGGGTTTAGGGTTTAGGGTTTAGGGTTGAGGGCTCGTAAGTTTGAGGGCTTTTCAGCTTTAGGAGGTCTAGTGTCTTTCAGGTCAGGCTTGTCGGGTGTCTAAAGAGGCGGGGAACGCTTAGAAACAGCGCGCTCTCCAAGATGGGGGGGAAGATGGAGAGCGCTTCCTTCTCCTTGAATCCATGTACTAAGCCCAAGGGTTTAGGGCTCAATTAGGGTTTAGGAACCCCTCTCCCACGAACCCGCGCACCCCCGGACCGTGGACGCAGGATCATCTTCTTGTTTGGCTTGATCTTCACCGACATCTCGACCGAGCTTCCTGGCCGCGTTTTTTAGGGTTTAGGGTTTAGGGTTTAGGGTTGCGCTTTCTCTGACTTGGAGCGTCGGGTGAAGTGCTTCCTGTTATACGGGACCAGCAAAGCTCCAAACCCGAAACCTGAAAGCACCCCAAAACCCGAACCACCTCCGACCCCTCCCAAAACCTAAACCCCTAAACCCCTAAACCCCTAAACCCCTAAACCCCTGAACCCCTAAACCCCTAAACCCCTAAACCCCTAAACCCCTAAACCCCTAAACCCCTAAGCCCCTAAACCCCTAAACCCCTAAACCCCTAAACCCCTAAACCCCTAAACCGCTAAACCGCTAAACCGCTAAGCCCCTAAGCCCCCTAAACCCTAAACCCCTAAACCCTAAAACCCCTAAACCCAAAACCCTAAACCCCTAAACCCCTAAACCCCTAAACCCCTAAACCCCTAAACCCCTAAACCCCTAAACCCCTAAACCCCAACCAAACCCCTAAACCCCAACCAAACCCCTAAACCCTAAACCCTGAACCCTAAACCCCAAACCCTAAACCCCAAACCCTAAAACCTGAACCCCAAACTGCGACATGCACTCGCAAGGCGTTGAGACTTGGGAAACCTAAACCCTAAAGCCTAAACCCCAAACCCCAAGCCACTGGCAGGGCGTTGAACACTGGCAACCTCAGCCCGATAGTTGCCGAATTCCTGGGGCAGCGCTGCGGCTCCTTGTCTTCCGTGGAGTGGCTGGGGTTTAGGGTTTAGGGTTTAGGGTTTAGGGTTTAGGGTTTAGGGTTTAGGGTTTAGGGTTTAGGGTTTAGGGTTTAGGGTTTAGGGTTTAGGGTTTAGGGTTTAGGGTTTAGGGTTTCGGGTTTTAAGTGGTAGTGTATACTTGGGGCCCAAGTATATACTAGATAGTTACTATATAGTTACGTGGACCCTCAGTTGGCGTGTTTAGGGTTCCCTCAGGCCTAGAGCAAACCATCCCTAAACCAAACCCTAAACCCTAAACCCTAAACCCTAAACCCTAACCCTTAAACCCTAAACCCTAAACCCTAAACCCTAAACCCTAAACCCTAAACCCTAAACCCTAAACCCTAAACCCTAAACCCTAAACCCTAAACCCTAAACCCTAAACCCTAAACCCTAAACCGAAGGCTTAAAGGTTTACGTAGGGTCTTAGGGTTGCTCGGGATCCCCCAGAAGCTATAGGGCTTGTTGAGGCTTCAGAACCCCAAAATAAAAAATGAAAGCCCTAAACCCTAAACCCTAAACCCTAAAACCCTAAACCCTAAACCCTAAACCCTAAACCCTAAACCCTAAACCCTAAACCCTAAACCCTAAACCCAGTGTTCGGTGGAAGTAACAACAAGGCTGTTGGACCTGATGGAGTGCCTCAGGAACTTTTGAAAGCGATTCTCGGATTGTCCGAAGGAGCGGAGGCCATGCGCAAGTTCTTTGACCACGTTTTGCAATCGTATTCGCATCCATCAGAGTGGTACCAGAGTTTCATGGTGTTGTTGCCCAAAACCTGCGCACCGCTGCTCCCAAAAGAATTGCGCCCGATCTGCCTGACCAGCCACCTGAGCAAGACCTTTGCGCGGCTGGTTATGAACAGGATTATGGCAGAAGTTCAGCCTCGACTCCCGCATCAGTGCTGTGCAAAACATAGACAATCCACTGACTATATATGGACAATGCAGAGAGTCATGCAGATCAGTCACGAGTGGGGCACTCCCATCTGTGCTATTAAGCTTGATTTGGAGAAGGCTTTTGACCGCCTCGACCGCATTGGCCTAGCCTCCCTCATTGTCTCCAAACTGGGAACGTCGCACCCCACCGAGGTCAAGAACCTGCTCGCAATGCTGAGGGAAGGGGGCGCTTGTATCCCAACAATCTGGGGAGAAGGACACACCGACATGAATTCGGGAGTTCGGCAAGGAGGGGTGGAGTCTGCAACCTTGTTCGCGTGGGTCATATCGGTGGTGATTGAAGAGCTCGATGCGCGGGCGCCGCCGGGAGGTTGGGCGACTGCTTGCCCCTTGGAGGAGCAGGCATACATGGATGACCTGTTGTTGTGGGATGGCCAGTTGGCCAGGCTACAAACTAGGCTGGGCATTTTGCAGTCCATCCTTGACAAATATGGTTTGCGCATCAACCCATCCAAAAGCTCGCTTCTCTGCAGTGGCAATGTGGGGGGGACACACCTGAGCTTGTTGGGACACCGCATCGAAGCCCTTAAACCGTCCGAAGCGCCTTGGGAGGTCATGGGGTTGCCTGTGTTTCCGGGGGTCAAGGAGTCTGAGGTGGTGGCGGCATTGATTGCGAAAGCCCGAAACAAGTTCTATGCAGCACAGGATGTCCTTTGTTCTAGAGCGCCGATCCAACAGAGGATGAGGCTTTTAGATCGCATTATTTGGCCAGCTATGTCGTGGTGCATTGGAGCGATCTTTCCTACACAGTCCGCAATCGTTCTCATTAACGACTTTCATGTGCATTGCGTGGGGCTGATGGCGAAGTTTCATAGAATGCCTGATGATTTGTTTATTGTTTCCGTCAGAGGGCTGTCCGAGGATCGCGCCAGCTTATACATGCTAGTGGGAGGGAGCGGTGGGGTACCAGATTTCTTCGGTGCTTCTGGTCCTATGCTGGACATCGCGCTAGAGCTCTCTACCAGGCCTTGCCTACGTCTGCTGGACTTCTTACTGGTTTCAGAAAATATTCATGGTGGAAGCAGGAACAGCTGTCCACGGTAGGGTCAAGACACGAACGACGTCACTTTCCCAAAATCAGTAATGAAGGGCGAGATATCACGGCCGTTGCCTGCGAGGGCAATATGGATGGTGATTGGACTGCAGTTGCAGTCGATAGGCAGAAGTGGAAGAGCCTTGAGAATACCTGGGTCTTCAAACATGATGTTCCCTGGACTTCTGGCAGACAGCTTGCGCTCCCACCGTGGCAACATGCGCATTGTCAGCCTGTTCACTCCCCACATGCAATCATGGATCGAAACTAGTCCGGACCTGCGTGCATTACCTGTGAAGCGGCGTACCCCGCGTTGCTGATGTTCTTGTGCAGCCGGTCCTGCCATAGTTCCTGGAAGTGCCTGTGTGTTTCTTGACCATGCTCAGCTTCGACCAGTCATGCAGGGTTTGGTGGAGGAAGGTGGTGGTGGAGGTGACAGAGATGGGCTCGTTGGCGCGTCTAGACGTGGGCGCGTGACATGATCATGCACAGGGAGTACTGAGGGGCATTGCTTTCCGGTTTCGTAACCTACCCTAGCTGTAAGCTCGCCCGAAAAGGAGTGAAGGGTTGTTAAAAAAAAAACCCTAAACCCTAAACCCTAAACCCTAAACCCTAAACCCTAAACCCTAAACCCTAAACCCAAAGCTCCAAGCCGACAGAGTCGCCTCAGTGCCCTCACAACCACTCCCTAAACCCTGAACCCTGACACCTGAACCCTAAACCCTAAACCCTAAGCCCAAAACCCTAAGCCCTAAACCCCAAGACGGATGAACCTTTCGGGACCTGTTGATAGACAGCATTTGGGGATGTTCCCCGGTTATACGAACAGTCGTAAAAAGGGATTAGTATCCCGATTATAATCCCTACTAAGGACTGTTAGTATGTCCTTAATAGGGATTATAGCAACCCCTATAAGAATCCCTGTTAAGGACTGTTAGTTTAAGGGGGAACATCCCAAGTGACAACATCTCTGTTTACGGACGCAGGTCCGACCGGACCCCCGAAACCCAACCCCCAAACCCTGAAGCCTAAACCCTAAACCCTGAACCCGAAACCCTAAAACCCAAGGCCCTGATTCCTGCAACCCGCAAGCCGAAAACCTGTAAAAACCTAAGTTCAAACCCTAACCCCTGAACCGCACCCTGAACTCTAAGCCCTGAACTCTAAAACCCTGAACCCGAAACCCTGCACCCTAAACCCCAGACCCCAAACCCTGAGCCCAAAACCCAAAACCCAAAACCCAAAACCCAAAACCCTAAACCCTAAACCCTAAACCCTAAACCCTAAACCCTAAACCCTAAACCCTAAAACCTAAACCCTACACTCGAAACCCCAAACCCCAAACCCTGCACTGTAAGGCTCCCTGGAAGAATCCATGCACACCCTGCTGCTCGGCGGCCATACAGGGGGGGGGAGGGAGGAGCAGGGGGAGTTGATCTACTTGAGGGTTTGGGGTTTAGGGTTTAGGGGTTTAGGGTTTAGGGTTTAGGGTTTAGGGGTTTAGGGCTAGGGAGTTTAGGGGTTTGGGGGTTTGGGGTTGGACTTCGGTCTTATTGAATATTGCGCCTCAGAGCAGTAAGGTTGTAGGGGCGTTGGAGTTGAGGGGCGGTTTTGTTGTTTTGTTGAAGGGTTTCGGGCATTGAGGGTTTTCGGGCTTTGGAAGTTCTAAGGGTTTTAGGGGTTCGTTTGCGAGGGTTTTCGGGCTTTGGAAGTTCCAAGGGTTTTAGGGGCTCGTTTGCGTTTTGTTTTTCGGGGCTTGGTGGTGCTCTGAAGCTTGAGAGTATGGGGGTTCTGGGTTTAGGGTTTAGGGTTTAGGGTTTAGGGTTTAGGGTTTAGGGTTTAGGGTTCAGTGCTGAACCGAGGGCGAGTGGGGTGATTGAGGTGACTGGAGTGATTGGGGTCATGGGGCCTCGGGGTTGCAGGTTTCGGGGTTTAGAGTTACCCTCTTCGCCTTAAACAACCCCAAACCCTAAACCCTAAACCCTAAGCCTTAAACCCTAAACCCTAAACCCTAAACCCCAAACCCCAAACCCTAAACCCTAAACCCTAAACCCTAAACCCTAAACCCTAAACCCTAAACCCTAAACCCTAAACCCTAAACCCTAAACCCTAAACCCTAAACCCTAAACTCTAAACCCTAAACCCTAAACTCTAAACTCGAAACCCTCGACCCAAGGGCCTAAACTTAAACCCCGGCACCCCGAACAACCCGAAATGCTAAACCCTGGGTTGGGGGCTACCTTATAGGGTTTAGGGTTCAAAGGTTCAAGGGTTCAAGGGTTCAAGGGGTCAAGGGTTCAAGGGTTCAAGGGTTCAAGGGTTCAAGGGTTCAAGGGTTCAAGGGTTCAAGGGTTCAAGGGTTCAAGGGTTCAAGGGTTCAAGGGTTCAAGGGTTCAAGGGGGTTCAAGGGTTCAAGGGTTCAAGGGTTCAAGGGTTCAAGGGTTCAAGGGTTCAAGGGTTCAAGGGTTCAAGGGTTCAAGGGTTCAAGGGTCAAGGGTTCAGGATTGAGTTTAGGAGTCCCTAAGCCCTAAACCTTTCACCCTAAACCCTAAACCGTGAAAGCTCACAAAAAAAAGAGACCCTGGAGCACAACAACTATCAATTCGGTTCTTAACCCTAAACCCTAAACCCTAAACCCTAAACCCTAAACCCTAGGCACTAAACCCTAAACCCTAAACCCTAAACCCTAAACCCTAAACCCTAGGCACTAAACCCTAAACCCTAAACCCTCTTGCGCAGGGCCCCTGACTTGTGAGGTACGGCTCCATCACTGGCGGCTTTACCTGGATGGAGGCGCTTCTGGTCGGGGCTTCGGGTTTGTGGGCCTAATCCTCAAGCCTTTAAGTGTTAAGGGGTGGGGCCCATAAGAACAGGGGCAAAACCAACCCTAAGCCCTAAGCCCTAAACCCTAAACCCTAAACCCTAAACCCTAAACCCTAAACCCTAAACCCTAAACCCTAAACCCTAAACCCTAAACCCTAAACCCTAAACCCTAAACCCTAAACCCCAAACCCTAAGCCCTAAACCCTGAACCCTTAAACCCCCCTAGGATGCCCACCCAGCTCCCTTGGTCCTTGCAGTGGCAGGGTGCGGCTTTGCGGGGCCTCCACGGAAAAGCCGCCGGGGTACCCGCCCCCCAAAAAGGAGAATTTTCACCTCCAAAACCCTAAACCCTAAACCCTAAACCCTAAACCCTAAACCCTAAACCCTAAACCCTAAACCCTAAACCCTAAACCCTAAACCCTAAACCCTAAACCCTAAACCCTAAACCCTAAACCCTATATACAGATGTAAACCACAAAAGCTTTGAAAGTTGGCAGCACCAGCTGCACTTACAAGGGCCTTTCAGGGTTAAAGGTTTAACCGTTGGCCACTTGCAACCGCTAGTGCAGAAGTGCAGAATCAGCTTTGTTTAGGGGTTAGGGGTAACCCCACAAAAAACAAGATCAAAATTGCATGCTCCTTCCAAATTAATGGCCGTCCCGCCCCCTCCCCCTCCCCCTCCCCCCCCTCGCCCACTCTCCCATATAATCCCATATCACCCTAAATCCTTTACTTTGCAACTTGGCAGTACTGCCAGGGTCGGTCCCCTAACCCCTAAACCCCAGACGCTCCTTGGCAGTGCAGCTCCTAAAGGCCAAACATCCGAAACCCCACCCTAACCCGAAACCGTAAGCCTTAAACCCTAAACCCTACACCCTAAACACTAAACCCTAAACCCGAAACCCCTAAACTGTTTCCTGAACCCTAAACCCCAACAAGACGTCCACCCTCGCGTTGCGCGAGGCACGCGACGCTTTCCACGAGATCTCTGCGCTTTGGGGCGCGGGTCCTTGCTGGTCTGGGTTCAGGGTTTCGGCTGGACTGTTGAGGGTTTCGAGCTTAGTATTTTCTTGGGTTTGGGGTGTTGGGGTGTCTGGGAGTAAGAATGGTTCCGGCGTTCACAATTGCACGACTTTTGTGGTTGTAGACCTTGAAGTTATCTGCGTTGGCGGTTGACCCGCGAAGTGGTGCCGGTACACAGAGGTGTGTGTGTGTGTGTGTGTAAACGCCTGAACATGGTGATCGCTGTGACTGACATTTCCATTTGCAGGGGGCAGTGACCCGCTCATACGCTCACTGCCAATGAAGCTGCTTATGAGTTGGGAGGATATCCAGGCTGATCACCTGGACGTACCTGCATGTGGAGTACCTGGGCAACGCCGTTGCAGCTGGTATCCACCACACTTTTTGTGACATCATGTACCCTGAAGTCCCAAAATTCCCATCTCGATGATCGCACCGCTGTGCCTTGGATCGCCAGCACCTTGGATTTATGGGCCTTGGATACCACAACTGGCAACAGGAGCTGCCGCTCGAGGCAGGCAACCATGCTCCTTTTCATTCTTCCCTTCTTCTTGACTCCTCTTGAGTGTGTTGTGGGTCTGGTGGTTTCGTGATCACTGCATCAGTTCATGCCAAGCCAAAGTGTGTACCAGTTCTGGTTTTTCCCGACATGGGGCCAGATCTCAGGGGCATGTGCCCGAGCCCGCGATAGCGGATGAGTGAATCACAACGTTGCAGACGCTTGTTCTCATCCATCGGGATCATCTGCAGTAGGATGACATGTGCCCACAGTGGGCTTCATCGGGATCATCGGTCACTGCACGGTCAAGGGCCGCGGTCAAGGGTTGATCAGTAGAGACAGCTTGCTGAACATGTGCTTTCCCTAGGAGTGCAGGTAGATCGTCTGTGCATGTGCAGGTAGGAGGACCAGGTAGGCACGCGCTCAAGGTATCCGGAATCCTTAAACAGACATGTCATTGACTGTCCTCCCATGATGCTGTCTGACCCCCTGTCTTGTTGATTTCGCGTTTCTTGTTGCCTCCTGGTGTCGTTCCGGTTTTGTTGTCTCTGCCTCCTCTCTTGTTGCTGTTCATGACTGGCTTGCTGACACCTGCTTGCTTCTTCGCGTCCTTTTCGCCCTTCGGGGCGTGTGTGTGTGTAAACGCCTGAACATGGTGATCGCTGTGACTGACATTTCCATTTGCAGGGGGCAGTGACCCGCTCATACGTTCACTGCCAATGAAGTTGCTTATGAGTTGGGAGGATATCCAGGCTGATCACCTGGACGTACCTGCATGTGGAGTACCTGGGCAACGCCGTTGCAGCTGTTATCCACCACACTTTTTGTGACATCATGTACCCTGAAGTCCCAAAATTCCCATCTCGATGATCGCACCGCTGTGCCTTGGATCGCCAGCGCCTTGGATTTATGGGCCTTGGATACCACAACTGGCAACAGGAGCTGCCGCTCGAGGCAGGCAACCATGCTCCTTTTCATTCTTCCCTTCTTCTTGACTCCTCTTGAGTGTGTTGTGGGTCTGGTGGTTGGTACATGTTGGTACCGTGATCACTGCATCAGTTCATGCCAAGCCAAAGTGTGTGTGTGTGTGTCATAACCCTCAACCCTAAATCGCAAGCCCTAAGCCCTAGATCCCAAACCCTAAGCCCTAAGCCCTAAGCCCTAAGCCCTAAGCCCTAAGCCCTAAGCCCTAAGCCCTAAGCCTTAAGCCCTAAACCCTAAGCCCTCAAATGTCGGACCCTGGGTGGCTGTCTGTACGGCTGGCTCAGGCTTTGATCTCCTTCCCTGTAGGCGTTAAACCCCCAGTAGAAGGGGTCCCCTGTTAAGAGCCCATATTAAAGGGCCATGTAGCTACCCTTAGAATACGGAAGTTTCCCGGTATTGCAATATGGGTGTTTTCCGACATTCGCTATTAAGAGGGAGGCTTACTATTTGGATGTAAACATACATACATACATGCATACATACATACGTACATACATATATATATATATATGTATCTATATCTATATCTATATCTATACCTATATCTATATCTATATATATATATATATATTTTTTTTCATGAATATACAAAAAATTGTATATGCATGTATATATGTACACATATATGTATATATATATATACATATATATGTATGTATATGTGTGTGTATGTATGTATGTATGTATGTATGTATGTATGTATGTATGTATGTATGTATGTATGTATGTATGTATGTATGCATGCATGCATGCATGCATGTATGTATGTATGTATGTATGTATGTATGTATGTATGTATGTATGTATGTATGTATGTGTGTTTACAATATGTGTATATATACACATATGTTTCTCCCAAATCTGTATTCTCAAATCTTCAGATGAGCTTCCTACAGCGATGCCCAGGCTACGTCTTTGAATTGTACGTGGCGTTCTGCAACTTTGCAGTTTTAAATGCACCCTGCCATTGCAAAGTGGGAAGCTTATGGGTTTAGGGTTTAGGGTTTAGGGTTTCGGGTTATACAGTTTTTAAGGGGGGGTTCAAGGGAGGGTAGGCAAACTCAAGGTTCCCTAACACTCCCCACTACTCCCTATGGCTCCCCAAGCTTCCGTCAGGTGCCCTAGGTACCTACCCCCCATGAACCTCCCTCCCTTAAGAACCCTGAACCCTGAACCCTCAACCCTCAACCTTAAACCCTAAACCGTAAGCCTTCTCAAGCTTCTAAACCCGAAGCCCTGAAATGCCGAAGCCCTGAAATGCGGTATGAGGATGTCTGGGTGAAGGGTCTCAGTAGCTGGCTTGTTTCCCGAAGAAGCAAAATGTGAAAGTAAGCCTTCAATGTGCTGATGATGCAAGCTCCCCAATCAGAAAGTTTTGAGCCCTACCCTAAACCCTAAACCCTAAACCCTAAACCCTCAACCCTAAACCCTCAACCCTCAACCCTCAACCCTCAACCCTCAACCCTCAACCCTCAACCCTCAACCCTCAACCCTCAACCCTCAACCCTAAACCGAAGCGCCTCGTTGCGAATGCTTGTATTGCTGGCTGGTTATTAGTAGAGAATGGGGGAATGAGGTACCTAAAGACTCCCTTAAAGGGTATATATATATATATATAGAGCCCTAGTTCCCTCATGCCCTACTAAGAACCAGGCGGATTTAAACCTAGCTTAGCAAAAGCCCCCTGGTCGCAAAATGCTTCGGAACCTTCGGGCCGCTTTTCACAAGGGGTCTTTCAGGGAGGGGGGTTCAAGGGGTGGGGGGGTTTAGGGTTTAGGGTTTAGGGTTTAGGGTTTAGGGTTTAGGGTTTAGGGTTTAGGGTTTAGGGTTTAGGGTTTAGGGTTTAGGGTTCCTAAGGGAGGGGGGGTTCAAGGGGGGTATGTAACCCAAGGTTCGCTACAATACTCCGCCCTTCGGTACCTACTCCCCATGAACCCCCCCTCCCTTCCCTGTAGGACCCCACAAGGTATGTTTCTAGTGCCCACCGTACTTTCCCCCATGTGCCCTTTACGCTTCGTGTTTGTGAGGATTTCCCAAGAAAAGGGGTTTGCCGTGCAGACATTTTTGGACGTACTTGCACATTTGCCTGGTTCTTTGCCCGTGTTCACATGCCACACCCTTTTCGACTCTTCCGAAATGCCTGCTGAGGTCATGACCGGTGTTTCTTGGCTGTTCAGTAGTAAGCGCTTTTTCTTTTTTGCGGTTCCTGTCAATTATCCGGATAGCCTAAACAAAGTACATACTTTTCCCAGGTGCAGAACAACCTAGGTTTTCTGTCAATCGGCGATAGAGTCTGCCGAGAAGGACTCTTTTGTTTCGTCGTCGTGGAAAATGCATCTTAGCTACTCGGATAGTCCCTTACTTTAAGATGATACATGTTGTACGGCACCCTTGTAAAAGGACCCAAATCTTGAGAACTACCCAACATGTGTTGTGATAAGTTTTGCAGTCAGGTCTTGTGTATCAGAATGTGTCACGGTGTTCCTAAACCACTGAACCCTAAACCCTAAACCCTAAACCCTAAGCCCTAAACCCTAAACCCTAAACCCTTATGGGCAACTTTGTTTCTGGAAGCCTTGGTCTTGGCTTCGACAAGTGCTGTCGTCGTGAGAGTGAGTGCGCGAGAGACAGAGAGAGAGAGAGAGAGAGAGAGAGAGAGAGCGAGCGAGAGAGACAGAGAGAGAGAGAGAGAGAGAGAAAGAGAGAGAGAGAGAGAGAGAGAGGGGGAGAGAGAGGGAGAGAAAGGGACATAGAGAAAGCAGAGAAGGAAAGACGGAAAGACAGAGCACAGAACGAAAGAAAGGAACAACGAGAAAGACAGAAAGCCAAAGTGCAGAGATAAACAAAACACAGAGAGAGACAGAGAGCGAGAGACAGAGAGCGAGAGACAGAGTCAATGCAGCAGGCCTCTCTGGTGCTGGGTGCACGCAAACCGCAGATTTTTTTTTGTGCTGTTCCGGGTTTAGGGTTTGGGGCTTAGGGTTTAGGGTAGTTAATGCAAGTTGTTGCAGTCAGCTTAGCCACACGCTTCGGCAAGATTTCCCGGAACTGGAATACTAGAGTACCCCTCAATAAGTAACACAGAGGCCATACGAAATAGAATAGGGCTTCTGCGGGTGATCATCGTCTTATGAAAAAAGGACCATAAGGGAATACTATTAGTAATTATTCCGACCCCTCAATCAGCAAGTACATTTCCTTCATCATACCCAAGAACCGCCCATTGCAGCTGATTCCTTGAGAACCCCCAAAATGGAAAGCAATACTCCCTATATTCCCCTGATAAGGAAGAGTTTCTTACTTTTTTCTGGTTCTTCTTCTGCAGGAAGTGGATACGATTTAAGGTCTCTTTCTTATTGGGTTCTCCGGGCAATCGTCGGGGCCTTTATAGCACCTCGAGCCCTGAACCCCAAACCCTAATGGCTGTTTAGGGTTTAGGGTTTAGGGTTTAGGGTTTAGGGTTTAGGGTTTAGGGTTTAGGGTTTAGGGTTTAGGGTTTAGGGTTTAGGGTTTAGGGTTGAGGGTTTAGGGTTTAGGCATCCTGGGATGCCTTTTTCCTGGGAGGACCATGAGTTGAACTTGCAAAGCGTCTCAGCAGAGCTGCTTGGGTGCAATGGTTTAAGCTCTAACTTACTTTGGGGGTTTAGGGTTTAGGGTTTAGGGTTTAGGGTTTAGGGTTTAGGGTTTAGGGTTTAGGGTTTAGGGTTTAGGGTTTGCGGTGTAGGGTTTCCGAAAATGGGGATCAGTTTTGGGGGTCCTCGAATATGGGAGATGCCCACTTAGCCAGTACAACGAGCTTTATAAACTTTTTGGGTTGCCTTCTTTAGTAGGAGTTATGAAGTTTACCCCCTTTTGTATTCCTTGGTTATTGGAGAAGCAAGCTAAGCTCTGGGCTCGTTAGGGCTTAGGCTTGGACAGGCACCCGGTCAACAAGAATAGCCATCTCTTCACGGGAGACAGGCCAAGCTATGGGCCACGACAGCCAGGGAGTTGGGCCTCAAAAGCCATGCTTTCCACAAGGTTTTCGGCCTCCAAGCCACGCTTTCCACAAGGTCTTGGGCCTTGAAAACCATGCGATTTCCACAGGGTTTTGGGGCTGTAAACCAATGCCTTCCACATGGTTTCGGGCAACCTTTCCACATCGTTTCCGCAACCTTCCCACATCACTTCCACATCCTTTCCACGTTTAGGCCTTCGGGCTTGGGTTACGCGTTGACACGGAAAAACCACAACCCCCCAAGCTCAGAGCCCTAGCTAGAAGCCTTCAACCCCAAAATCAGCTGCGTTGTAAGGAAACCCAACCCTAAACCCAAGAACTCTCAACCAGCTTGAGATCATGTAATGGTTAGGGTTTACGGTTTGTGTTTGAGGGTTTAGGGTGTAGGGTTTCGGGTTTCAACCCTTCACTCCCACAAAGTCTGAGACGCAGAAGGGGCCTTGAAGCCGCCTACAAGTAGGACGCCCAGCAGACCCTAAACCCCTAAACCCCAAACCCCAAACCCTAAACCCTAAACCCTAAACCCTGATAAGCCCTAAACCCTAAACCCTAAGCCGTAAGCCCTAAGCCCTAAACCCCAAACCCTAAACCCTACTCCTTGAGGAAAGAGAAGTACTTCCGCGCAGTTCGGCGGCTGTTCACCACGCTCGACCAGAACTCGGACGGAGGCGGGAGAATCCCTCGCAGGGCTTGGGTTTAGGTTCGAGGGTTGAGGGTTGAGGCTTGAGGCTTGAGGCTTGAGGCTTGAGGGTTGAGGGTTGAGAGTTGAGGGTTGAGGGTTGCTAGGGTACCCGCACACCCAAACAATATAAGCCCTGCGCCCAATACCCCCCTCCATCCCGTGTGCCCTTTTTCCCTTTCCGCGAGCTTCGGGCTTAGGACTTACAGGTTTTAGGGTTGAGGGTGTAGGGGGGGTGCAGTGTTTAGGGTTTCGGACTTAGGGCCCTTATCGAGAATATTTGATATCAGGGGATGGCGGTGGGTGTGGGTGGGGGGCAAGTAACTTGCCATGCCCGAAAATCTAAGCGCAATTTCCCGAATCCCGACCCTAGACCCTAAACCCTAGACCCTAGACCCTACACCCTACACCCTACACCCCACACCCTAAACCCTAAACCCTAAACCCTAAACCCTAAACCCTAAACCCTAAACCCTAAACCCTAAACCCTAAACCCTAATCCCTAAACCCTAAACCCTAAACCCTAAACCCTAAACCCTAAACCCTAAACCCTAAACTCTGAACCCTGAACCCTGAACCCTGAACCCTGAACCCTGAACCCTGAACCCTGAACCCTGAACCCTAAACCCTAAACCCTAAACCCTAAACCCAACCCCAAACCCTCCCTAAGCGTCAACAGCTTGTCCCTCTGCCTCAGGCATCACGAAGCAAGAGTTCGAGCAAGCCTGGGACAACCCAGTCTTACAAACAGCCACTTGGGCTTAGGGTTTAGGGTTTAGGGTTTAGGGTTTAGGGTTTAGGGTTTAGGGTTTAGGGTTACAAACAGCCACTTCGGTTTGGACATTTTAGGGTGCACATGTTGAGGGGGTTTGGGGTTTAGGGTCTAGGGTTTAGGGTGTAGTCTTCAGGGTTTAGGCTCACTCAGGATTTAAGGCTTTCGGGTTTTGATGATTTAGGGATTCTTTGCTTTTGTCGAGAGCGGATTGCAAGAGCTCTTGCACGACGAGATTGAGGGCTCAGGGGTTAGCCTAAACCTAGCATTGTAGGGTTTCGGGTTTCGGGTTTAGGGTTGAGGGTTTAGAGTTATAAGCCCTAAACTCATGGCACGTTTGCCGCCTCGAGTCATTAGAGGAGTGATCCCCCCCACTGTCACACCGCCCAGCACACATGACAAACGCTTGCAGCACTACGTTGCACCCACAGTCCAGCACACGTGCCACTGGTCCAACCCGGAACCCTAAACCCCAAACCCCAAGCCCTGAACCCTGAACCCTAAACCCCAAACCCTAAACCCCAAACCCCAAACCCCAAACCCTAAACCCTAAACCCTAAACCCTAAATAATGAACACCCCTCAGACCCCGGGTTCGGGGGGCTCCAGGTAGGAGACTCTGGGCCCCCCGTGGCCCACCATTTTTTGGGCGCTGGGTGTCTTTTTGGGCCCTTAAGAGTCGTTCTAGGGTTAGGGTTTAGGGTTCAGGGTTTAGGGTTAGGGTTTAGGGGTTTAGGGTTTGGGGGTTTAGGGTTTAGGGATTTCGGGTTTAGGTTTTAGGGTTTAGGGTTTAGGTTTTAGGGTTTACGGTTGGTCTGATGGCATTTTTTGCCCGCTTTGGGCTTTCGGAGTCTGTGGTCTCTTTTGGGGGCCTCGTCAAGGTAAACCCTGAACCCTGAACCCTGAACCCTGAACCATAAACCCTAAACCCTAAACCCTAAACCCTAAACCCTAAACCCTAAACCCTAAACCCTAAACCCTAAACCCTAAACCCTAACCTAAACCCTAAACCCTAAACCCTAAACCCTAAACCCTAAACCCTAAACCCTAAACCCTAAACCCTAAACCCTAAACCCTAAACCCTAAACCCTAAACCCTAAACCCTAAACCCTAAACCCTAAACCCTAAACCCTGTCATAATTGGTTAATAAGTACCTTGAACCTCCAAGTGCTTCCCGGCGTTGATGTTTGGCTGCTTTTTCCAAGGCAAAGGTGCTGCCGCCATCGCCACAAGAGCCGATAAGAACCGAAGGCTAACCCTAAACCCTAAACCCTAAACCCTAAACCCTAAACCCTAAACCCTAAACCCTAAACCCTAAACCTTAAACCCTAACCCCTAAATGACCCTAGGCCTGAGGGATTTTAAGTTCGTTTTCGGCAAGATTGTCGGGGGCCTGAGCCTTTGGATTCCCAAACTGCCCAAGGTCTTTGACGCCCTGGAGATCAGCGACTTGGACATGAGAGGATAGGACACCTACCACCGAAACCCTAAACCCTAAACCCTTAACCCTAAACCCTAAACCCTAAACCCTAAACTTTAAACCCAAAACCCTAAACCCTAAGCCCCCGTTTACTCTAAACAACGGAAGGGACGATCGACCGAACCATACCCCGAGCGCGTGCCCTGCGGGGAACAAGAGACAAACACAGCGTCATGAACCTTAAGCCCCAGACCTTCGCCCCTGAACCCTTCAACCCCCTTAACGCTATGATGAAGCGGCATGCGCTCATAAGTTTACTGTAGAATGGGATGTTCCCCCCTATGCATCGTACCCCCTATGATAATCCCTATTCAGGACTGTTCTGTTAGTACGAGGGGCAACATCCCCCTAGGCCCCCGAAGCCCCGTGCCTGGAAGCGGCGTGACTTAGGTTTTAGGGGTTTAGGGTTTAGGGTTCAGGATTTAGGGTTTAGGGCTTAGGAATCATGTTGTTTGTGTTTTGTGCGTGCGCGTGCACATGTGCATGTGCATGCCCGGGTGTGCGCGTCTGCGCGCGCGCGCGTGCGCGCGTGCGTGCGTGCCATGCCAAGAGACAGCTTGAATACCCAGCCCCTGAAGTCTACAATCACCACCCACCCGAAACCCTAAACCCTAAGCCCTAAACCCTAAACCCTAAACCCTAAACCCTAAACCCTAAACCCTAAACCCTACTGTACATCCCCACCCCACAACCTCGAACCCCCCTGAGCTCAGGTGCGTCGGATGCCTGGCAGCTCTTCACGGAGCTCGACTCGGACACCTCGGTGTGTCTTTTTTGGCGGGTTTCGGGTTTAGGGTTTAGGGTTTAGGGTTAGGGTTTAGGGTTTAGGGTTTAGGGTTTAGGGCTTAGGGTTTAGGGCTTAGGGTTTAGGGTTTGGGGTTTAGGGTTTAGGGTTTAGGGTTTCGGGCCTGGGCTTTGCAGGAACCCGACGAAACCCTACACCCAGTGGGGATTTCGAGCACGTTGTTGGGGGAAACGAAGGGTGTACCCCGTAGTTGGGGAGCTAACGGCCTATATGGGGGTTTGAGGATGTGAGGGTTTGAGGTTGTAAGGGTTTGAGGGTTTGAAGGTTTGAGGGTTTGAAGGTTGAATTGGTTAAGGGTTGAAGGGTTTGCGTGTGAAACCCCAAGCCCTAGACCCTAAACCCTAAACCCTAAACCCGAAACCCTAAACCCTAATCCCCAATACCGGTGGCAGGAGTTGCTATTCAAGATCCGTAGGCTGCAAGGCGCTGGACGTGGAACAGCCGTGCCTCGCATACCTAAATCCTCGAACTTTTACAGGCCCCTTTGCAAGTTGTTTAGGGTTTAGGGCTTAGGGTTTAGGGTTAAGGGTTTAGGGTTTAGATCTGAAGCCCAAAGCCCCAAACGGCAAGGACGGCAGCGGCGAAGTCGACGTCGACGAGCCACCTGGATCACGTCAAGCGCCCACTCACCCTAAACGGGTTTACGGTTTAGGGTTTAGGGTTTTGAGTTTTGGGTTTAGGTGCGGGGTTTAGGGTTTAGGGTTTAGGGCTTAGGGATTAGGGCTTAGGGTTTCGGGCTTAGGGTTTAGGGCTTAGGGTTTAGGGTTTAGGGCTTAGGGTTTAGGGTTTAGGGTTTAGGTGAGGTGAGGCGCGACCAGCAGTTGCTCTGCGGCCTGCGGCCTACCGCCCTTGTACCTCTCGACTTCACAGGGAGGCTCTGAGGCTCCGGGAGCGTCATCGCCACCCTCCATCACAGAGTTCAAGAGGGGGAGGCTAGCTAGGGTTTAGGGTTTAGGTTTAGGGTTTAGGGTTTAGGATTTAGGGTTTTAGGTTTAGGGTTTAGGGTTTAGGGTGCAACCATGCAACCTCCAAGTCATTGCGCGCAAGTTGTAGCTGACAATGTGAGGAGCAATGGCTTCTTCCAGGGGCCTCATGCTCTCGCTTGGTGGGTCCGTCCCTGCTACCCCCACATACTGATGGGTTTCCGAAATGAGGGGTACCTTATTGGGGTCCTCATTATAACGGGATCCCTACTATTTGGGGTCTATTTTAGGGGTCCCCTATTTTCTTAAACTCCCACATGAGCTTCGACCCTTCATGTCATGGCCATGGGTTTAGGGTTTAAGGTTTAGGGTTTAGGGTTTGGAGTTTAGGGTTTGGGGTTTAGGGTTTAGGGGGGCAGGGCTTAGGCTACGAACTTCTAGCTGAGCGTTCATAGGGGCTTAGAGGGGAGCCCCTGGAGTCCAGGGGTACAACCAAACCTTCGAAGCTGCACCCTCCTAAGACCCTCAACCCTATACGCCCTAATCCCTAAGCACTAAGCTACCTAAACCCTAAACCTTACCCCCTAAACCCTAAATTCTAAACCCTAAATTCTAAACCCTAAACCCTAGACCCTAAACCCCCTCAGGCCTATAACTAGGGTTTAGGGTTTAGGGGGTATATAAGGGTTGCCCATTTAAGGGCCCATGCGAAGGGGCCAATGTAACTACCCTTAGAAGAAGCCAGGCGCCTAGAAAGTTACGGAACTGTGGGGTTGAGGGGTCTGGCGCTTGGGGTCCGAAACCCTACGCCCTAAACCCTAAGCCCTAAACCCTATACCCTAAACCCTAAACCCTAAACCCCAAACCCTAAACCCTAAACCCTAAACCCGAAACCCTAAACCCTGAACCCGAAACCCCACATCCTAAATCCTAAACCCTAAAACCTAAACCTAAACTTTAAACCCTAAACCCTAAACCCTAAACCCCAAACCCTAAACCCCAAGCCCTAAGCCCTAAACCCTAAACCCTAAGCCCTAAACCCTAAACCCTAAACCCAAAACCCTAAACCCAAAGCCAAGGTTCTTGGAAGGCTGCATGAGCATCAAGGGGCCCGCGCGGTCCATCGATGTGGTGCGGATCAAGAAGGACGGCGGGCCTCCCCCAGATGCCCATAACCTTGAAGCCGAAACCCTGAATCTTAACCGTAAACCCTAAACCCTAAACCCTAAACCCTAAACCCGAAACCCAAAATCCTGAACTTTGAGCTCGGAGCCCGCAATGAGTGTAGGGTTTACAGGGCGGTCAAGGGGTTCAGGGGGTTTAGGGTTTAGGGTTTAGAGTTTAGGGTTTAGGGTTTAGGGTTAAACCCTAAATCCTAGACCTTGAGCTCAGGCGTTGAGGTTTGAGGACACACCCCCCCTAAGTCCGATGCTCGACTTAAATAAAGACCCGAAGCACGGCTTTTAGCTTAAGTATCAATGTTCAGGGTTTAGGGTTTATATAGGGTTTAGCGTTTCGGGTTTAGGGTTCGGCCTTAGACCCTGTATAAGCCCGAATATAGTCATCTCTCCATCAGTCCTACACTCGAAATCGTGTCCCTAAACCTACGTAAACCCTAAACCCTAAACCCTGAACCTGAGACCCGGTAGAGACCCCAATATCGGCTGTAGGGGGTTCTAGGGTTGAGGCTTCGAGGTCTCGGGATTGGAGTTTTAGAGTTCAGTAGCTGAGCCTAAACCCTAAACCCTAAACCCTAAACCCTAAACCCTAAACCCGAAAGCATAAAACGCTGCAGAAGCCCGCAACTTTACATCAGCTCCCATAGAAGACGCCTTCTTCTGGCGTTCTCAACCCCAAGCCCGGGCCCAGCACCTAGGGTTTCGGGTTTCGGGTTTAGGGCTTCGGGTTTAGGATTCAGGGTGTAAATCCGAAACCCTCAAAGCTTGAATCGTAGACCCTGCTGTCGAGAACGTTATAGGATCTTGTCTTAAGGTTTAGGGTCTCAGGGTCTTAGGGTGTGAGGCGTAGCTTGGGTTTATGCGACCTGGCATCAAGGATCTGCTCCGGCTGAGACAGCGCCTGGAGTACCTTTGAGAGTCGAACAACTGGCGGAAATGTCTCTCATCCGAAGCCCCAAACGCTAAATTCCAAACCCTAAGCTCCAAAGCCTACAGGCCCCCCCTAGACTACACCCTACAAACCCTAAACCCTGACGCCGAGTCCCTAAGCCGAAAGCCCGCAGCAATTGCCGCTCAACTCGAGGGTAAAGGGAGTAACCCTAAACCCTAAACCCTAAACCCTAAACCCTAAACCCTAAACCCTAAACCCTAAGCCCTAAGCCCTAAGCCCTAAGCCCTAAACCCTAAACCCTCTCGGGTCTAGCCCTAAGGGTCCATGTACCTCATTACCATGTACTTGGGCCCTAGAGTCCCAAAATAGGAGGTACTTTGAGGCCCAAGTATTCCCTATTTAGGTACATGCACCCTTAGGCACCCTTAGGGTAGTGTGTAGGGCCTAGGGCCTTAGATTTTGGGTTTCTATACCTTGCAAGCCCGCAATCCTCGACCCTAGAAGCCTGAAACCCTGAAGGCGCTTGGCTCCGGGCGTTTAGGGTTTAGGGTTTAGGGTTTAGGGTTTAGGGTTTAGGGTTTAGGGTTTAGGGTTGTGGTGTGTCTAAGGGGAGGTACAGGCGCCCTGCTTACCCTCTTCAAAGCGTTCCCGAGTATGGGCTCCTGCGTTCAAAAGGGTATATGTATATGTATATAAGTATATATATATATATATATATATATAAAGGGTTTAGGGTTTAGGGTTTAGGGTTGAGGGTTGAGGGTTTAGGGTTTAGGGTTTGGGGCCCGTAGTCAGGGACCATGTTACTGCCAGAAGAGTGTTTTGAAGGCAGGGTTTTGGAGTGCAAAAGGGCTCCCCAGCGTTGCTCGGCTCTGCGCCACCGTCCCACTCCCCTCACGTCGTCTCACAGATTTTTTCAAGGCTCAATTCAAGACGGCTTGGCTGATTTGGCCCCTGTGCTCTGAGGAGTCTTTTTGGGGGTTTAGGGTTTAGAGTTTAGGGTTTAGGGTTTAGGGTTTAGGGTTTAGGGTTTTCCCTTGGTCCTGAAGTATTTAACAGCTTGGGCGTTAGGGTGACTCCTCTGCGTGGGCTCGCTGCGGCGGGTACCTCGACATGTAGGAACGAACCCCCGAATGCTCGAATAATCCCCGAAACTCGTTGTGGCATGCTTTGGGTTATTCATTGCAGGAGCCTCTGAAGTAGCTTGTTCGGGGCTCTCAGGGTGTAGGGTTCCTGAACCCCCGTAGCCTCTAAACCCCAAACCCTAAACCCTAGATAAACTACGCGGACACCCCTGCGTCAGGGCTGTGAGCCTGGCCACAGACATGTGCATCGAAATGGTCGATGTCCGGACGACCGGGATGCAATGCCCCTCAAGCTTACTTCTTTTCAGGGTTTAGGGTTTAGGTTTTAGGGGGTTTAGGGTTTCGGTTTTAGGGTTTATAGGTTTAGGGTTTAGGTATTAGGGTTCAGGAAATCCCCCCCCGGGCCGGCCCCCAAACCCTTACTCCCAAAGCTCGAGCTGCTCCCAAGACCCCAAGCCCTAAACCCCAAACCCGACACTCTGAACCCTATACCCTAAACCCTAAACCCTAAACCCTAAACCCTAAACCCTAAACCCTAAACCCTAAACCCTATACCCTATACCCTAAATCATGATCTACATGCCCCCCACACCCCCCCCCCCCCTCCCACATCCCACAAACCAAAAGCAGAGAGCCCGTCCCAACTAGCCATCCCCCCCCCGCCTCCCTCTCTTCCCGCTCCGAACAAAAACAAAACCCTTAGAACCCAGCCTCCTCCGACCCCTCAAGTGGGTTTTTGGGGTCGGCTTCAGGGCTTCGAATCTGGCGATCTGAGCCCTTTTCTAAGGGCAGTTCCATGGGCCCTTGATACGGCCCCTTACCTCCTTTAAGGGGTCCTGAAGTGTGGGGCCCTTGCATTGTCTAGGGTATGTAAGGGGTGTGTAAGGGGTCCCCTTTCAAGGGCCCGTACCAAGGGACCATGTAGCTACCCTAAGCCCTTGCGCTTCTCAGAAGGGCATTGCGTCCGCGGCGTGCGAGCTTGCGCGAGCTCGCAAGCTCCGCACGCCACACCCTGCCGACCTTGAAGAGGTCGAGTTGCCTCCCGAGAGCACTTGAGAGCAGCCCTAAGCCCTAAACCTTATACCCTAAACCCCAAACCCCAAACCCCAAACCCTAAACCCTAAACCCTAAACCCTAAACCCTAAACCCTAAACCCTAAACCCTAAACCCCAATCCCTAAACCCCCCCAAAGCCCCCAAACCCTAAACCCCAAACCTCGAGAACCCAAGTGCTAAAAGCCCCGAAGCCTCATCGGACCCTGAAGAGGTCAAGAGCATCCTCAGTCCAGGAGCACCACCCGAATGGGGGTTTACGAGTATTTAGGGTTTAAATTAGGGTTTAGGGTTTAGGGTTCAGGGTTTCCCCCCAAATAGTAGGATTCTAATGAGGACCCCAGTAAGGTACCCCGAATGCGTAAACCCCCAACTATGCGTCCTGGACCGAGCCGAGGGCATTGTCGCCCCTTTGAACGAAGAGTCTAAAACTGATGAAGCATTTAGGGCGGGTTTAGGGTCTAGGGTTTCGGGCTTAGGGTATAGGGTCCAGGGTCTAGGGTTGAGGGTATACTGTGGAAATACAGCATAAGAACCCATTCGAGCGTAGGTAACTGGAGCCTTAGGCATACCACGCAAGGTTCGTGTGGTGCAAGGCCTGGGAAAGAGGCCTAGTACAGGTGAAAGAACCGTGAACACTGGGGTTTAGACTTCGCGATAGGGTTTGTGTTTTCATCTTCGGGCCCTAAACCCTCATACCCTCCTGCCCTAACCCTGAGCCTTAAACCCTTAAACCCTTACACCCTTAAACCCTTAAACCCCTAAACCCTTAAACCCCTAAACCCTTAAACCCTTAAACCCTTAAACCCTTAAACCCCTAAACCCTCAAACCCCTAAACCCTTAAACCCCTAAACCCTTAAACCCTTAAACCCTTAAACCCTTAAACCCTTAAACCCTTAAACCCTTAAACCCTTAAACCCTATGCCCTATACCCTAAACCCTAAACCCTTAAACCCTTAAACCCTTAAACCCTTAAACCCTTAAACCCTTAAACCCTTAAACCCTTAAACCCTATGCCCTATACCCTAAACCCTTAACCCTTAAACCCTAAACCCTAAGCCCTGATTATGATGTGGTTACTGGCTACTAAGGGTTGAGTGGTACAGTAGATATTTGGGACTTTGGGCTGGAACTTTGGAGGGACTTCGGGTTGAAATAAGTTTGGGGTCTAGGGTTTAGGGTTTGGGGTTTAGGGTTGAGGGTTTGGGGTTTAGGGTTCTGGGTTTGGGGTTTAGGGTTTAGGGTTTGGGGTTTAGGGTTTGGGCGTAGCGCTAGGGGTGCGCCCTTAAGACTTGTCTCCCCGAATCCCAAACTCGGCTCGGCAATGTCTGACGGTGCCCCTGCCGTCCTCTGCACGGATGAGTCGGTCACTCGTCATCCGCCTTTGAGCGAAAATGCCTCGGGCGGAGTTCAAGGGTTTAGGGTTTAAGGTTTAGGGTCCCCACCGCCCGGCAAACCTTCATCCCTTTAAGGCCCTAAGCACTCAACCCACAAAGCCGAAACACCCTCAATCCTTCCAGGGCTCTTTTCAGCCCCAGCCTTGGCTTTCCGGGCCAGTAGGCCCCAGAAGCCCTCAAACTATAAGGTCTTTAAGGAGGGGGGTACCTCCCCAACCCCCCCCCACCCCCCCCCCCCCCCCCCCCCCCCCCCCACCCCCTCCCCCCACCCCCCCCCCCCCCCCCCAACCACCCCCAACCCCCCCACCAACCCCCCCCCACCCCCCCCAACCCACCCCCCAACCACCCCCCGCAACCCCCCCCCCCCCCAAACCACCCAACCCCCCAACCCCCCCAACCCCAGACAACCCCCCCCAACACCACCCCCCACCCCCCCCAACAAACCCACCCCCCCCAAACCCCGTAACCCCGGAACCCCCCTAAACCTAAACCTAAACCTAAACCCCCTAAACCCTAAACCCTAACCTAAACTAACCCTAAACCCTAAAACCCCCTAAACCCTAAACCCTAAACCCTAAACCCTAAACCCTAAACCCTAAACCCTAAACCCTAAACCCTAACCCCTAAACCCTAAACCCTAAACCCTAAACCCTAAACCCTAAACCCTAAACCCTAAACCCTAAACCCTAAACCCTAAACCCTAAACCCTAAACCTAAACCCTAAACCCTAAACCCTACACCCTAAACCCCCCTTAAGCACCCAGAAAATCAAAATCCTACAGCTAGGCTTAGCTTCAGGAACCCTACAAGGTCTAGGGTTTAGGATGGTTGTTTTTGCGCAATGTTTGAGGGCAAGCTTTGCAGCAAATCTTCGTGAAGCCTTTCGAACCGAGGCTGGGCATCCCGATTGGCTGCCGGTGCTGCTGGATGAGCAGGGGAACCAGGAGCATTCTGGGTTCAGGGTTCAGGGTTTAGGGTTTAGGGTTTGGGGTTTAAGGTTTAGGGTGGGCGAGTTTGGGTTTGGGGTTTTGGGGCCGGGGTCATTTAGAACCCTAAACCCCGAAAACCTAAACCCTAAACCCGAAACCCTAAACCCTAAGCCCTACCCTCAGGCCGAAGCTCCAAAGCGCGTGAGCAACTACCTTTCGCAGACTCCGCTTAGTCTGACACTCGTACCAGCTAGCAGCACCAGGGGCATGGGCTTTGAGACGGGGCAGGAGCTCTCGGTCTCCGACCAAGAGTCGCTCGTGCCCATGCTGCTGTCAGGGCGTCGTCGTACGGTGGAGTACCTCTTGATCCCGCTGCAAGATCCGGCGATTTAGGGTCTAGGGGTTAGGGTTTAGGGTTTAGGGTTTAGGGTTCAGGGTTCAGGGTTTAGGGTTCAGGGTTTAGGGTTGGTGATTCAGCTCCCAGGTTCCCCAAAGAGGGGCCCTCTGAAAACCCCGAACTTCGGAACATGCCTCAAAGACCGGCTTAGGGTTTAGGGTTT